GCAACACTAGCTGCAAAGTATGCCGACCACCAAGACTTTAAAGTGGTAGTAGTTTCATCAGACAAAGATTTGTTTCAGCTTTTGAATTACAATATTCTAATATTTGATCCCATTAAAAATATATACATAGATGAAAAACAAGTAATAGAAAAATTTGGTGTAAATTCAAACAAACTTCTTGATTTATTTTCCTTAACTGGTGATGCATCTGATAACATTCCAGGTGTTCCAGGGATAGGCCCAAAAACTGCAGCTAAACTGCTGGATGAATTTGATTCGTTGAATAACATTATAGAAAACATTGATAACATCGAACAAACGAGGGTTCGTAATATCCTTACTGAACATAAAGAGAAAGCACTAACTTCAAGAGAACTTTTATTACTATGCGAAAAAGTAGATCTTCAGCATGATATTGTAAAATATGAAGTTCATCCTCCAAATATGGAGAAATTGTTGTCCTTTCTAAAGAAGTATGAGTTTAATTCATTGATAAACAAAGCAGAGAAGCTTTTTTCCTATAATAAACCCAGCGCGGAAAAGAAACTAGAATATAGTAGTGAGGAATTAGAAAAATTTTTGGGATATTGCAGATATGGAGGCAAAATTGCAATTCATTGCCACTTTGAAAACAACGCGTTAAACAAAATCTCTTTGTCTTGCAGTGAAGATAATATTTTTTATGTAGAGCGAGACAGTATACAAGATGCACTCATTACAATCAACTCAACTTTACTCTCAAATGGGGTGCTTAAAATAATACATAACATTAAAGAGATGAGAAAAATCTTCCCTGCAGTGGAGAAGATGCTAGATTCAGTTGATGATTTGATGATAATGTCATATAGCTTAGATACAGGAAAACACGACCACAGCATTCCAAACATAGTTGCGTATAATTTGAGTGAAAATGCAGAAGTTTTTTCAGCAAAAACTTTAATAGCGATCCATGAAAAGCTAACACAAAGATTGTTCCAGGAAAAGCTTTTTACAATTTACGAGCGCTTCGATAAGCCACTTATGAAAGTAATATTTGATATGGAAAAAAATGGAATACTACTGGACATACAAAAATTACAGGAGCTATCCGATAAATTTCAGCAGGTAATTGCCGTGCTTGAAGATGAGATATATAACTTAGCAGGGGAAAGATTTAATATTGCTTCGCCAAAACAATTAAGTGATATTTTATTTAATAAAATGGGGCTAAGTAAAAAGAAGAAGTCAAAATCTGGGTCTTATAGCACAAACTCTGAAATTCTAGAGGCACTCGAAGAGGAAGGAGCAGAAATCGCAGGTAAAATTTTAAGCTGGCGACATTTAAGTAAATTAAAGGGTACCTACACTGATGCATTAATAAAGCAAGTTGATCCACTTGACGACAGAATACACACAAATTTTTCGATAACTATAACTGCAACTGGAAGACTTAGCTCCAGCAATCCTAACTTACAAAATATTCCTATCAGAAGCAAAGAGGGAAATTTTATCAGGCAAGCATTTGTTGTGCCAAAAGGGTGCAAGATGATCTCTGCTGACTATTCACAAATAGAATTGAGACTCTTGGCACATGTTGCAAACGTTGCAGCATTTAAAGAAGCTTTTGCAAACAGACAAGATATTCACGACATCACTGCAAGGCAAGTCTTTGGAGTGCAAGAAATAGATGAACAATTAAGGCGCAAAGCAAAATCTATCAATTTTGGGATTATATATGGCATTAGTCCGTTTGGCCTCGCAAAACGACTTGGAATCACCACTGCGGAAGCTGCTGAATACATTAATTATTATTTCTCTTGTTACCCAGAGATAAAGATCTACATGGAAAAAGTAGTGTCTATTGCAAGGCAACATGACTATGTAGAAACCTTGTTTGGTAGGAGATGTTTTGTAAGAGATATACACAATAAAGTTCCTTACATGAGACAATTTGCAGAAAGGGCAGCAATAAATGCACCGCTGCAAGGAACTGCTGCTGATATAATAAAAAGTGCAATGATTCGACTTTTTGATCAGTTAAAAGCTGGTAAAATAATCCTCCA